GATCCAAAAAAGTGAACTGCTGATCGATAAATTTTGCTCAAAATACGCCAAAATACAATAAACTAACTAAGAAATATAATTATCATAGTTTGAAGAATAATTCTGCTTACCTTTATTGTCCCAACGAAGGTTTTAACGAGTGAAATTTTCGGTAAGGTCGGGAGGAAATTTCGAAGTTATCAGAAAGTCAGATTACCGTGTTTTGAATGGAAATCCCCAGATGAAGGTGTGTTTTACGTTATCAGAACGGGTTACCCTAATAGACACAAAAATAACACAACAAAAAGGCAAAAACTAGTGGGATACCCTGGTGCTCTGGGGAATGGCGACCAAATTGAAAACGAGGCTGCCTGCCAAAGCCCCTATGGCACAGAACTGGTGATAGTGACATACCTAATCATGGGGTTTCCTCCAGGTACTCTGGTTCCCCCCACAGTCCAAAAACTTGCTGAGGTTAATTGGAGTTACCAGATTGCCCATAGGTGTGCATGTGTGTGTGAATGGTGTGTGAGTGTGCCCTGTGATGGGTTGGTGCTCCATCCTGGGTTGTTCCCTGCCTAGCGCCCATAGCCTCTGGGGTAGGCTCAAGACCCCCCACAACCCTGAACACCACAAGCAGTTTTAGAAAATGGATGGTTGTTTTGATTCATTCATCGACTCATACAATGACACTGAATGAAAATAGATCTGAAACACTTGTGTTCCAATATGTCGAAAACTAGCCTGTAATTGACACTAACTGGTGCTAAGGAGTAAGCTAAATACAGACGCTCCTCTACTTACGAATGAGACACGTTTCAAACGGCCATTCATAACTTGAAATGTTCGTAAGTCATTATTCAGCATCATTTCAAGGGTATACGCAAGTATAAAGAACTAGGATGCTGGGAGTACGCACGCTACGCTGCTGCGCGGTGGGAGTAGCGGCCAAGAGTCGTACTAGGCGGAATTGGTGCACAAAAAAAAAAATTATGTTGCGGACAGGAAACGGGAGTCCAGGGAACACAATTTGGACTTACAGTCCTCTTCGTTCGTATGTCTGAAAGTTCGTAAGTTGAAAGTTGGTAAGTAGAGGAGCATCTGTACCACAAATAAGTCATGTGAGAAAAATAATAACTGTTTTGGCAACCTAACAGTTCATGACAGAGTCAGCTAAAGCGTCCAAATGCTAACAACCCTTGGATTGAATCATTTGAAATCATGAAAATGTTGCATCTCAAAAATCCAATTGTAGCATACAGAACTCACTGTACATGTAGATAATATACTACACCAGTAGATGGTGTATATCAGTCACTCGTTCATCTACTCACTCACCAACTCATTTTCAATGAGAACAAGAGACCCAAAGGAGTGACTGAGTAACCCACTCACTCACCAACTCAGTCACTCCTTCAGATCTGTCACTCAATCATGACCAAAAGGTAGCTTATCTGAGTCTCTCATTCACCAACTCACTCAATTCACCCTTACATGCCTTGCTGGCTTTTACTGGCTATAGTCCAGAAAGAAAGCAGTTTTCTAGTCACATTTCTAAGCCAAGGTGACGAATGAAACAGATGAATCCGTGCAGGGAAGTGAACGCAAGTGTACAGTTCCTGTAAGAGACTCGTTCTCTAGGAATGAATTGTTCTCAAACATCACACCAATACCTGTCAGCAACCTTCGTCTGGCAGCCACTGGTCCTATTTCCCCATTTGTACGAGTTTGCCATAGGTGAACTGGTGGGCCCAAGTGTTCCTGGGCAGGGGAGAATCAACCTTTGTAAAAGTGTGGGGGGGAGGGGGGGGTTCTAGGAGACTTAACTTTTCTTTAATCCAACATAAAGTTGTGGGGGGGGGGGGGTAAAATCATGTTTCAGCAGAAGTGGAGGTGTCACAACACCCATCCCAAACCCCCCCCCCCCCCCCCCCCCCCCCCCCCCCCCAATTGCAATGCCCAGACGGAATTCAGGCCCACCAATTCAGCACAATGTTGATCCAGTAGTCAGCTGAGGCCTGTTCTCTGAAGGCGGGTTCATTTTAGTCATATTCATAAAACACGCCCCCTGATTGGTCAGTGGGCTAAAACCAAAGATTCATGGCAGACACCCATTTTCTAGACTCAGCCTACTAAATGCAATATATATGTGGGTTCAAAGGTCCAATACAATAGGCCGATACATCAGCATCTTGTCCAATAAAATGAAATGTTTTTTTTCCAAGCATCACATGACCCCTCTTCACAAACGGTAAATCTAACAAAACACCAGCGCGCAGCTCTGTACAGTGACACTTCCTGTTTGCATAAAATAGATCTGAAACACTTGTGTTCCGATATGTCGAAAGCTAGCCTGTAATTTACTCTAACTGCTGCTAAGGAGTAAGCTAAATACCACAAATAAGTCTTGTGAGAAAAATAATAACTATTGAATTATTGTCTGTTTTGGCAACATTGTACCTTAGCTATTCATGTTTGTTAAAAAAACGAAAACCTAACAGTTCATGACATAGTCAGCTGCAGCGTCTGGCTAGCCCGAGGCGGTTTTGCTTTTAGTTGACATGACTAAACAAACCACAGTGTTCGATTTTATTTTAAAATGACACTAGTTTGTTTCCTCCCACGGCTTCCAGTCAGACTCACAGTCATTCGAAACACCACCTGCAAAAGCAATAGTGTTGCTGTTGTTGAAGTAAGCAATGGAGTTGTACTTAAATCTGCTTGTTTTGTTGTTCTGTTGTGATGGTGGAGCATGTGTTTGTCATCTGTATACAGAACAATAAAACAATTGTGTCTGACAGCAGTGACAGGTATGTGTGTGTGCTTATATAAGTTGGGGGAAGTGTGCTGTTGTGAAGGAAATAGATTTTTCTTCCTCTTTGATTTTTTTAGTAATACCACAGGTCATTTAAAACCTGCTATATACATATGTGTGTATGTATGTACTGTATGTAGTTGAGTGTGTAGTGTGATTTGGTTGCCAAATGAATTGTTATGGGACCAGTCCACTTGATTTCCTGTCGACCCACCCATGCTATGATTTCTGGTTCCGCTCCTGGTGCTATAAGGATTATTAAGATCATTCCCCTTGACACATTAAATAGTTTTACAGTTTTTGTGACTAATGCATCCACAATTCAAACACTGATTTTTTTGGCCTCGTTGGAACTTTTAATTTCCTCATATTGCTTTGAAAACCCCATATGTTAAAGTGCATATTGTCAGACCTCTTTTATAGCTGACACATACTGCTTATTGGCATTTAATCTATTATTATGACTCAGCTTTGTAGCTGTGTTTGTTTAAAGTCTTTCTCTCCCCTGTGATGTTTCTATTATTTTGTCCATCCCCTGTAAAGAAGTATATATACAGTATACACACACACTGAAGTGTTGCCTAGCAGTGTCCTGGCATGCCCTCAACAGCATAGCCTTGTCTTGCGCCCTGTGCTGCCAGTGATTGGCTCCAGGCTCTCCATGACCCTGATCAGGATAGGCCGATTGAAGACGGATGTATGTACATAGTTTCCAGTGGAATGGATTTCGCTATTTCTTGCATGTTCAGAATTAGTGAACTAGTCATATGATAGAAATGCAATGTGGAAATGTTTTTGCAGGGTTGTGGTGGCTTATTGGGTAGCACTGGTTCCTCGTGCTTCCAGGGCTGATGGTGTGAATCCTTTCTTTGCTACATGTCCCTGAGGCTTGCTTGTTCTCTCCTCGTTGCACAGATTCCCATAGTTACGTTAATACCGTCTTTCTCTTCCTGGTCCTCGGGGATCCCCAGACAGTCCATGTTTGAATGTGGGTGGTCTGGCACAGAGCTGGGAGGGAGCAAAAAACCTGGACTGTGGGAGTCCTCAAGAATCGGGTTGAGACACCATGCACTAGAACAATTAAAATCAGGAACAGGTCCTGCGAATGCAGCAAAAGGGAAGTTTTGTTTCTACTGAACTTTATAACCTACTTTCCTTTTAAAATCAAGCCTACAGAAAGCCTACTCCCTGCAAACACATGAACGTGAATGCGGTAGTACTGTATGTCTGTTGTTTTTAGTGTACTTGTAACTTGCCGCCATTCTTGGCCAGGACTCCCTGGAAGAAGAGTTATTGTAACTCAATGGGACCTTCCTGGTTAAATAAAGGTTAAATAAATAAAATAAAATAAACAAGCAGTATTCAGGCATGGGGAATCCATGTCTGTTTGTCAAAATTAATTACACTGTCCATTAAAGGCGGGAATAGAAAATGGATGGATGGATATTTTCATGTTGTATTCATGCAATTTCTTTATAACTGGTTTTGCCATAAATTCGTTTCAAACAGAGGGGCATTTCTTTGTGTTTTTACTCATCATCTGAGTGGTGTGTAAACAGACCATATGCTCAATTTTCCAACACTGAGAAACTATTGTTTAAAACTACCTGAATGGTGGGTGATATTTTGACTCAGTGGGTGCTTAACCGTCAGGGTTGGGAATCTGAATACTTCCCCAGCTGTGTGTGCAGATTTTACATATTTTCAACCTGTTGTGCAGGTTCCATGGGGTTTTTTTCTTTTCTGCTACAGTCCAGAGGCATGCCCTTAAGGAAATAGATGTCTCTAGGATGTCCAGAATGTGTAAGTGCGTATGCTCTCTGACAGACTGGCATATGTGAATGAGCAGTTTGGATATTGTACACGTGGCCACTAGGGGGCGCCATGTACAAAGCGATTTACATTTAAAAATGTGTAATTTAACTAAAATGACTATCAGATAACATTTCTCTGGCTTTTATTACGTCATCATTCAACTCAATCCAAAATTTCACACACAGATTCACAAACAAGAATCCTATCAATCGACATAACAAAAATGTCTTCCTGATTAAATATCCATGTAATTCACACAGCATTCCAGAGTCTAATTCATGGCCCATTCTGTTTCCTGTCACTGCAAAAAGGATGTATTATATAATTGTGCTTTCATCACAAATGAAGCCACCCATTATTTTAGCCTCTCTTGCTTTCAAAATTTTTCAAATTGTCAAAGTTCATCTCCCTGCTACGTACCATTTTCCAACAAACGGTTTGTCCACATTCACATGAGTACTTTCGCTTCTTTTTTCCCCCTAGTGTGCACTTCCCTCTCAATAGGTCTTCTGAAGACTGCACACAGTTGAATAAATTCTATAGTGCATTTCAATAGCACAGGAACTGAAAAATAACATAAAAAAAAAATCTCCAACAAGAAAGTTAAAAAACAGCAAAAAGGAAAACATTTTCATTTCCTTTGAAGAAATATGAACAAATTTAACATCATTAAGGCATTCATTCACTTTATGCCTTTGTGTGCCTATGCATTCCATTTAGTATTATTTCTGCTTCAGAACTCTTCACCTTGTCCGCATGACTCTTCCCAAGAGTCACTCCACACACAAGGTCCAGTGAGCAGCTGATCTCTGCATCCGTCAGCTACGCTTCAGGGCATCTGAGTGACCCTCTTCGGTTTCACGGTCATCTGACTTTTCATTCCAATGGCTACACATACTTCTTTAACTTCCAGACTCCCAGGCAAAAAACAAAAAGACATTCAAGCTGCAGACCAGCGATAAGCAACATCCCTGCCGCCACATTGTACCTCAAACCTCAAAATCCATGTTGTTCTACACTATAATTAGATGGTTACCCCAAGTATTCCTATGCAATGAATAATAATGGTACTGCAAATTAAATTGAGCAGTTAAAATCTGCATGCTTAGTAAATTGCCCATTTGTATAATTCTTATTACAAATTGTACATGATTCTTAGGATAAAATTGTGTTCATGTCATCAAACCAAAACCCTCAAATGGCTGATCTGGATCAAAAAAGATGGTTTGATCATATGTATGCAACACTTAATTCTAATAATTTTTCTTCTCAGTTTCCTGGTGAGGGTCACTATATAGTAGCATGCCAACATCATCTTTCTATGGCCACAGACTCCAGTTCATTCTGGGGAATCTCTAGAGGTTCCCAGGCCAGCTGGGAAATATAATCCCTCCGGCGCATCCTGGGTCTGCCCTGGGTTCTCTGCCCAGTGGGACGTGCCTGGAACAGCAGCCTTGCAATATGCCAGAACCACCTCACCTGACTCTTTTCAATCTCGAGAAGCAGTGGCAATGTTTCAAGGTCCCTCCGGAAGTCTGAACTCCTCACCCGGTCACTGAGAGTGTGTCCAACCACCCTGTGGAGGAACCTCCTGTCTGGATGAGGCCAAAAGCATGGCAGCACCTGCCAATGACAGGGATGTCAGTTCTAGCCCTCCATACCAAGCAGCAACTTCAATTTTGTACCAAGGGTGCAGACACAACCTTTGTTGCCTTCATACAGCAACCGAATATCAATCAGTATTGTCCCCAGTACCCTGTATTCCTGTGCCACGATACATTTCCATATGGCTTCTCTCTGCCTATAAATGACACGGTCTACACGCAATATTCCCACATACCCTCACACAGCTATGCGAGGGAGTAGAGTTGACCTACTGTTTCATAGTTGGGCTGGAATATGGATTGTTCATGCTCAATCCTTGGTTCGGCCACTGGGTGGCGTCTCCCATCCAGCACACTGGCACAGGTCATTTTCCCAGGGAAACTGGGAGGGTGATTCCCCTGTAGTTGGGACAGACCCTCTGGTATCCCCTTTATAAACATGGACCACCATCTCATTTGCCAGGCTGGGGCTACTTTTCATCCCATATTGAAGAGGCACATCATCTCTGTCACCTCAACAACATTCAAGTTCTCTGGATGGATTTAATTTACTTCTGCATCCTTTCCACCATGCAGGTCACTGACCACCATATTGACTTCAGCTGCAGTGATAGACTCTAGTTCATCAGAAGGTTCCAGCACTGCCTCCTGGTGAGAAGGCATATCCACCAGGTTGGAGCTCCTCAAAGTGTTCCGTTCACTGCTGGTCACTGTTCCCAGAGCTGGTCAGCACTTCTCCTCCCTGGCTGAAGGCAGCCTGAGCAAGAATAATCATTGTCTGTCTCCATGGCCGCTTCAATCTCCTCCCATGCATAAACCTTCACTTACATGACTGCCTTGGCTACAGACTTTCAGTTGCCTCAGGATAGGGTTACCACATAATCCATGCCAGAAAGGACACGCTGAGCTACTTCAGGTTTACAAACTCCTTTAAAACTGAAAAGCTCCTCAGCTTGGCTAAATACTTCAGTTCTTCTTGTGTTTTGAATGGTTTGTTTCCTTGATTGAAAGACTCATCCATCTGTTTCACATTTACATTAGTGACAGATGCATGATTACAGGAGACTGACCAATCAGCACACAGTAAGAACTCAGTGCTTAAGTGAAATCCAGGGGATTGTTGCACAAAGCAGGACTTCTTCATTAGCCAGGCAATTTATGCCAAATGTAAGGACTGACCAACAGGAATGTCACTAAGCGCTCTTCCTATTGGACAGTTTTCACAATTGACTTAGGTTATGTAGCTAACTGGGAAATTCTGCTTTGTGGAATACTCCCTGGTCGTTTTAATTGAACTGGTAGTTTACAAATCCTGCCCTAGCTTAAATAGTCCCCCCTGACATGGGGTGGTGACCCTATCTCAGGAGACCCCATACATTGGTTTCTTCACCACCGATATCTACCAGCAGGTCCAAGGATTACGGTCGCTATCCTCACAGACTGCTTTCTGACCACAGCTCTTTGCAGCCACTTCCACAACTGAGATCTTGAACATGGTTTGTTCAGATTGTGTCCTTGACCGCACTTGGCACTCCGGATAAGTTTTTGCGGAGGCGTACACTATAGTTTTTGCCAGACATTACCAGAAAACGGTGACTGCTCATCTGGGTGGTTTTGGTTCGTCTGACATCCTTCCCATGTACTGAATCCGACGCCACAGCAAATGGGGATTGGTTTATAGCTCCGTCCCACTCTTCATTTAAGGGTCCAAAAACACATGACCTCAGGTCAGATGACACAACTATAAAATCCATCATTGACCTTTGGCCTGGGATGCACTGGTAGCAGGTACACTTATGAACATCCTTGTGTTCGAAAATGGTGTTTGTTTTGAACAATCCATGGCTTACACACATCTAATAACAAAACACCACTCAAGTTTCGATCTGGCTGGACATTCTCCCTAATCATGCCCCTCCTGGTAATGTCATTGTTAAATACATACAAACATATACATGCAAAGAATTGTAGCTACAAAGGTATGGCAAGAATAAAAAGTTCTGCTAAATGATCGCCGTTTGTAATTGTTGAACATATTACGGCAAACGTTTATAAAAATGACAGTCACTAGGTGGCGCTGTTGCGATATTAGTCATTTTGTGACCACCAATACCCAGAATCTCGTTTAAAAGATGCAACATGAAATTATTGCTAACACAAAAGAAAAACTGAAATTTATTTTGGTATCAATAGTTAGTGACTTAAACGTGAATTTTAACAGATATTTCAATAAATTTGCGTATTTAACCAGACCACATAATAGGCCTAAATGTTCCCCTCCATTATAGGAAATGTAACGGTCAGCCCTTCTCGAGCCCTACTGGTATTGTTCTCCAGTGAAATAAGGTTCAGCGCCTGTTAGCCATACAAACTTTGGTCCTCAATTACCTTATTTCCCTGACGACAAAGATCCATTTATGCCACCCACAGAAATACCATTTACGACCTGAAATTACAGGGATAATGCCTATAAATTCTAAGACTTCTTTGATAATTGGGTAACATGCCATCGATTTTTGTTGTTCATTTTAATCAATACGTTATCAACGCAAATCCATCTCACCCATGCGAATCGGGTCTCAGGGCAGTAATGTCCCGAGGGGGACCTGAACTTAACATGTATAGATTTCTGTTACGAGACCTTCCGCACAGATAGGGCACGCCTACTTGCCTGCCTGCCTGCCTGCCTTTGTTGCCGATAGTTTCGGCGTCCTCCCAGCCGCGCTGATGCTTTGCATGTCCCCTCCCATTTACCACAAACCCCACCCGTCTCACACATGCCCCACCCATTGCCCGCCTCGCACACATGACCGTCCCGCCCGTGGATCAGTAAAAGCACGCCCAACGTGCCGGGTCCGGAGAATGACGAGGGCTGCGCGGTGGGCAGTACGACCGCGACCACAAACTCCATTCAGATCGTCTCTTAGCAGACATCCTGATACACCGCTGCATGAACGGCCGAAAGCCACATAAACTGCCATTGCATCCTTGCTGTATAGCAGCGCGCGACGAAGGGAAAAGGGACCAACGCGAGGGAGACGCCACCTTAATAGCGACTCATCTCGCCAACCAAGAAACTGGAATCTGAAGTATCCAGTTTCGGCTCCATCGTGGCATTCCCCAGGTGGCATGTTCCAAGGCTGCCATTTATCGATCTGAACTCCTGCTTTCACCCGAAGAGGTAACGTTACATGCATCTACAGCGTAGCTTAAACAGGCATTAAAAAGCCTTTTGAGATCGGCGCTCTGGTCGGGCGAGGTTTAAAACCCGCGCTAGTCAATGTGATCGCCGACTTTCTGCGTGACTTTCCCAGTCCTTTCATGACTACACGTTATCTATTAATTATCAGATCGACAATGAGGAAAGCAATTAAACAATGAGCGTCACTGCTGCGCCGTCACGTGCAGCAGCCGTCTGCAAGATCAAGTGTATTTATCTGAATTTTTTATTCATTGGGCTGGTATAATTACCAAGCCAGTAAATCGTCACCCCGTTTTAACTTAATAGGTACGTAATGTCGCATTAAAATAATTTTAGAAAAGCTGTACAAAAGAAATAGATTTGTTATAAAACAATGCATAAAGTATATTGAGTGCATCTAAGTATTTGCAAATGTGTTGTAGCGTTATGTAAAATATAATAAACGCTATTCAGTTACCATCTCTAACAGATGTAAGCGGTATATATTCCCGTAAGGCTGATCGCAGCCGCCTTATCGCTATTTGCAATGCGTATAAGCTGCTGTGTTTCAATGTGAGGTTACGGCGATAACTTGGCTGAAACGCTTCCGTTTCCTGCTGCTTTAACTCGTTTGTCAAACAAACTATGCGCTACTCATTTATTTACGTTGATACTGGGTGCTAATATGAGCCAATCATATAAGAATTACTGTACACGGAGTATTTAGTTTATCGTACTTATTTTGCTTGCAGTTGGCTACTGAGACTTAAAAGGCACTTGCGAGCCCCTGCTTTACTGCGTTAACCGCATCGTCTGTGCAAATGAATTATTAATACGTGTCGATTGTCTGCGGTTCCAAATTGCAGTGGAATGAAACATTACCAGTTTATATAGGCATATTTTAAATATTTCACTCTCGCGCTTACCATTGTAACTTTTCCTCCCTTTCTTCTCATGTAGGGTTCAATGAAAATGTCCATCATTGTCCATGAGAACCGCAAGTCGCGGACAAGCTCTGGCTCCATGAACATCTACCTGTTCCACAAGTCGTCCTACGCAGACAGCGTGCTGATGCACCTTAATGCCCTGCGGCAGCAGAGGCTCTTCACTGACGTTCTGCTACATGCCGGGAACCGGACCTTCCCCTGCCACCGGGCGGTACTGGCCGCCTGCAGCCGCTACTTTGAGGCGATGTTCAGTGGTGGCCTGCGTGAGAGCCAGGCCAGAGAGGTCAACTTCCACGACTCCATTCACCCCGAGGTGCTGGAGCTCCTGCTGGATTACGCCTACTCGTCACGGGTGATCATCAATGAGGAGAACGCAGAGTCGTTGCTGGAGGCTGGAGACATGCTGGAGTTCCAGGACATCCGAGACGCCTGCGCCGAGTTCCTGGAAAAGAACCTGCACCCCACCAACTGCTTGGGCATGCTTCTGCTCTCCGACGCTCACCAGTGCGCCAAGCTGTCCGAGCTCTCCTGGGGCATGTGCCTCAGTAACTTCCCAACCATATGCAAGACAGAGGACTTCCTCCAGCTGCCCAAAGACATACTGGTACAGCTGCTCTCTCACGAGGAGCTGGAGACGGAGGACGAGCGGCTTGTTTACGAGTCGGCCCTCAACTGGGTCAACTTTGACCTGGAGCGGAGACACTGCCATCTCCCAGAGCTCCTGCGCACTGTCAGACTCGCCCTCCTGCCTGCCGTCTTTCTCATGGAGAACGTGTCCACAGAGGAGCTCATCAACAGACAGGTCAAGAGCAAGGAGCTGGTGGACGAGGCAATACGGTGCAAGCTGAAGATCCTGCAGAACGACGGCGTCGTCACGAGTTTGTGCGCCCGGCCCCGGAAGACCAGCCACGCCCTCTTCCTGCTCGGAGGTCAGACCTTCATGTGTGACAAGTTGTACCTCGTGGACCAGAAAGCCAAAGAGATCATCCCCAAAGCCGATATCCCCAGCCCTCGCAAGGAGTTCAGTGCCTGCGCCATTGGCTGCAAGGTCTACGTCACCGGAGGGAGAGGCTCCGAAAACGGCGTGTCGAAAGACGTCTGGGTGTATGACACCCTGCACGAGGAATGGTGCAAGGCGGCCCCGATGCTCATCGCCAGGTTCGGGCACGGCTCGGCTGAGCTGAAGCACTGCCTCTTCGTGGTGGGCGGGCACACCGCGGCCACCGGCTGCCTCCCCGCCTCCCCGTCAGTGTCGCTCAAGCAGGTGGAGCAGTACGACCCCGCCACCAACAAGTGGACCATGGTGGCGCCACTCCGCGAGGGCGTGAGCAACGCAGCCGTGGTGAGCGTCAAGCTGAAGCTCTTCGCTTTTGGGGGCACCAGCGTCAGCCATGACAAGCTGCCCAAAGTGCAGTGCTATGATCCGCTGGAGAACCGCTGGACCGTACCCGCCACGTGCCCGCAGCCTTGGCGCTACACGGCCGCCGCCGTGCTGGGCAGCCAGATTTTCGTCATGGGTGGGGACACTGAGTTCTCTGCGTGCTCCGCCTACAAGTTCAGCAGCGAGACGTATCAGTGGACTAAGGTGGGCGATGTGACGGCTAAGCGCATGAGCTGCCAGGCAGTGGCATCGGGCAACAAGCTCTACGTGGTGGGGGGCTACTTTGGCACGCAGAGGTGCAAAACCCTGGACTGCTATGACCCTACGCTGGACACCTGGAACAGCATCACCACCGTGCCATATTCGCTGATCCCCACAGCCTTCGTCAGCACATGGAAGCACCTTCCAGCTTAGGGGCTGACCTCCAACCCCCCCCCCCCTCCCCCCCCAGGTATGAAACCGAGCCTTCTATTTCTGGAACGTAAAGCAATATTACGCATTTCAAATTCTGAACTTCATCCTACATTTCCGGCATGATTAGCTGTCAGTTCCATCGTAACGGCAATTGTTTCCGCTGGGGTCTCAGTTTTAAACTTCAATTGCATATGCAGAAGAAAGTGAGTTTATTCCCTTGACTGTGAGGGGAACATCAAATTTTGAATATTGGGGTTCTCGTTTGACTGGATTTCTGATGGGATGCGGTAAATGTCAATTGCCTGGAACAAACCTAAGCCATATGGCCCAATTAATAGAGTCTTTCTGTTATTGTACACTATGTAATATGCAGAGGACTCGTACGCTTCATTTTCATGCTGGTGGCTACAGTCCTTATGTCCGCTTTTGACCTTAAGCTCTGCAACCTTATCTATGCTCTGAAACCTGTCCTTAGAAATCCTGTGAACCAACAGGCAGCGTATGAACAGATGGTTCAAGTAGTAATTGGGCGGCGGCATTAGGCAGCGGGTAACGGGCATGACAGAGTAATTGCAGAATAATTACATGAGCTGTGCCATCAGTCAGCCACACCTTAAAACTCTCCCGCTTGCAAGGCTGTCTGTTTATTTGTGTCTTGTGCTGGAGTAACACTGTCTGTCCATAGCTTGCCCGGCTCTCTAGCTCCTTATATTTTGTCAGGTGGATTGTGAGGAGCTTTACGCGGATATGAGACCAGCGCTGTCTGGAAAGCTTTACTGGATTAGCCCCCTCCCAGCTTTTCCGCTGCAGTCTGGCTACCGTTCGGCTCCACAACCATCAGTCGAGTCTGCTACACCGTTATAAACAGGCGGGGTGCGACTTGTGTTGGCAGTCTTCATTTTTGGCTACAAATTCAGCTAATGGCTCAGTGTCTCTGTGAACTAAATGATTAGGAGCTGTCTGCTTGGGGTACCCTGGGGGGGTATTGCAGTTCTCTCTGATGATTAGTAATAATATAAATATCTAAAAGGATCGGGGAGGCAAGTAATTATATTTGATAGCGGTACATAATTTAAGAGAATCTCATTTATAGATGTCTAAAACTACGAGCGTTTACATAATGATGATATTGATTAATTCGCAGCCTATTCCTTCAAAATGATTGTCGTAACAGAGGACTTACTTTGCCCCAGGACGGTAGAGTAAATGGGTACACAGTGAATTAAGGGGCGCTCCCAATAAACTTGGGCCATTAGTGACTGGTTTGGCACGGATCCCCATGAAGCCCTTTTCCCAGTGTCCCGAAAGCGCCGGTCAGGAATTCCACTGGCAGTGTTTGCATACTGAATGTTGCCCACCTACGTTGGGCAGTAAATTTTTAAAGCAGCAGCTCCTTTGTGAAGGGGGTATTAATGCATTTAAAAGAGTCGTGAGCCTCTTCGGCGGGGGGCCGGGAACAATGTTATTGTTTCCACCCCCACTTGGGCCGCAGGGACTCTGCTGCCCCCGATCTCTGGCCGTTCACACGGCTTGCTGGGCCGCTGGCCTCGGAGGGCTCGTCTTAAGCGGTAAAGCGAACTGTAATCCACCCAAAGGTTACAACTTTAGCAGTGATGCTGGGCAACTTCCAGGCTTATAAGTTACTTGGGGGTTTGACACCAAAAGTCCAATATGAACACCGTATTAATTTTTGTGAATTTATAGTAAGTATGATCATGAGAATCAACTTTATTTGCACGTACAGAGTACAAAGAACTTGTTTTGATGTTTGGTCACATTAAAGTCAATCACAAAAATAACCTATATAGAGTAATAGAGATTTTTAAAAAGCTAATGTTGGTGGATTGAGGGATATTGAAATGGTCTATTTAAGGATCTTTTTTTTTTTCTCCGATTCTGTTGGGACTTTGGAGTCGATTGTCGATTACGTTTGAACTGCAAATCATATTTATGACCCCCAATTAAAGAATGCTTCAGTGAGGCCGGTGAGAGGCCGCAGGAGGAAAACAGATTTGCTGTTGTCCATATTCTCTACATCTCAGGACCCAACTTTTGAGACCCCCAGACCCCTGGGGTGAATAAATCTTTGAAACACATATCATGTCTGCATTACATATTGACATTTCAGGGCCATAAAAATCCCAGCGGATAAGCTTCTGACTTCTGCTTTAAATCTCAACAGTGTGACGGTAAACAATCGCTAAAGTAAACACACAAACAGTGTCAGTTATATATGGAAGTAAAGTCAAAAACGTCGGTAACGTTTAATATCTCCAGTGTTTGTGACCTATATGTTCACGATGTCTTGGGCTTTATTTGCTTTGCAGAAGGCAGGTTCATTCTGACTGTGGGATAATGATAAACCTCATTAAAAAGCCTTAAAACTGAGGGCTAATTTAACTTTGGACACAATCATTTCTATATGCTTTTTATTTGCTTCCTAGTCTTCAGTTTCGTGACACTTCTGTTTTGTTTTTTCCTCCCACAGATTTTTCCTGCGTTTTCAACACATCTACTGGATTTAAACTGTGAAGAGGCACAATCTGAAGGTCCTGTGCAGTTAGAAACATAAGTGAATTCACTCATTAGGTTAATGATTCCTTTATTAAACTTCTGAAAATCTCAATTTAGTTGGTCATGCCTCAGAGTATATATTGTTTCGGAAAACGTGATTTGGTTGGCTTTGCCAAACTTGGGGGCATTTTTAAAAAAAAAAAAGCCTCGCTGTATCTCCCACAATGGTTTTCCAGACAGTATATTTTCAGCTCATGGCATGAATTTGGCATCAGTTCAATATTGCAGATAATTTTGCAGTGTGAGAGAAACTAATTTCAATAGTAGCAAATGGCTGCACGGGACAAACTATGAAGGAAAAACTGTTGTTGTTCGGGATAGACGGACGCTTGCAAGTGGTGTGTTTTTAAGCTGTACCACAAAGTGGATTCAATGAAGGATCGATCCCCCCCCCCCCTCCTTTTTGGGAACTAAGAATGAGGATAATCGTTTATCTGCCCCTTTTGGGAAGCACATGTGGGGGAGGGGGAAGAAATGGACCCTTTTTTTTTTGTTCCCCCCCCCACCAAAAAAGACAAGGTTGTGCATGGACAGGTGTAAAATTTGTGATTGCTGCGGCCTGAAGTTTTGACGGGCCAGAGTGTGAACGCCAGCTGCATCGCGGAGAAGAAGCGAAACATGCCCTGGCATGTCCTCCTGAGTGAGGAGCTCCGGGAGACTCCGAGGGGAGTCCATGGGGCCGTCACCCCCCGGGGCGGACACTAACCGTGACTAAAGGAAATGTACTATTTTCTTTATAATGCAACATAACAATAAGGAAATGCTTGTCTTAAGTCTTAGCTTTAAAGGTGTTTTATTTATGAGAATTAAATGTCTCTTTTTATTTTCGCTGTTTTTTTATTTTCAATTTTAATTTATTGTTTGCTTTCATTCCGGAATGGATGCTCGGCCTGCCTTTACATAAACATGCATGGCCCTTGTTTCCTGTGGATTGGGCTCCTTTGCACATTTTGAGTTTCTCTGAAGTGGGAACTGTTTTTGGGGTTTTAGTGGGAGGGTGGGCGGTTTATTTATTTGCCCTAACGTGGGTGGCTGAAAGGTTCTTGGACTATCTCAGGATCTGATTGGTTGGGGGGGGGAGGGGATTAACAGCCCAGGTGACCTGCAAGGCCTTCGGGTGGCAGCCAATGAGAGGCAGCGCAGCTGAACCTTATAGTGCTGGCATCAGTATGTGTTGTTAGCTCGTGTGGGGTGCAGTCCCTCTGATTTGCATCATGCAGGGGATCACGGGTGAGGCCCAGGAGGAGTCAAACAGCGACACTGCGAATGTGTAAAGAGAGCAGCTGCATCATGTTCGTTATGTGTCTTCTAGGCTGGTGTTGTAGTATGACGTCTTCCCGTCATGTTAAGTGACATACAGCCGCTTCTGACTATGATCTGTTGATCTTCGCTCAGCTCACCCCAACTGCAGCTTCACTGTAGATGTCACCAATTCATAAATGTACAGAACTGTGTGTTATATTAAAAAAAAACTTAAGATCCAAAGAGGATATGGGGGGGGGAAGTATGTATGTGTATATGTGTAAATATACACCAGCATTTGTAGTATGGACTTGTCAACTTCTATAACTCGCTCATTGTCTGGAAGTAGGTCTGCAGGCATGCTCAGAACTTAACCATAAGCAGAAATGCAGCACGTTATCTGCGAATGAACTGCACAACCTCAGTCTCACATTTATAATGGTGAAATTTTACACAGTTTGTGAAGACGAGTATTTTTTATTTGTTTTAAAAAGACCGTCATAGTTAAAAAATATAGATAAAAAAATGTTACAACACGGGTTACAAAAAAGAGAGAGAGGCGTCCCTTATGCCCCTCTGGGATTTCTGGAGATACATTGAAGTATTGATTTATAAATTGTTGCATATTTTTACCCACACAAAGCCCCAACCATGAAGTACCATGCTGTACTTCAGATCCTTGCCATTAGCTAAGGGGTTGGGGGGTTCATTCTGTACTAGAGTTCCCATAGAAACGGTCAACAATGAATCCCAGAACACGTATTTTTTGTTGTGTAATTGAGTCC